TACATAAATTTTGAACAATTTGTAAAATTATGCAAATTAAGCTATATTAATAGCAATATACAGTGCAATGTAGTAGTATACTATAATAGTATGGTATACGACACATGGTCATATATGCTGTATGGTAACATACATGGCGATATACGCAATGTAATATTTGTCGTACGATACATGACGTGTAGTGATAGTGAATGCGTGTCGATACCACGTATGATAATACAACGCGATATATGGGCGTGGTAATACATGGCGTGTAATAATTTTTGATGCGTAGTGATATGACGCGTGGTAATACAATATGTGACGATACTAAGCATGGGGACATAGAGCGCACAGTAATATAACGCGTGGCTATATACGATACGTAGTTATACACGTTCCAATATATGGTATGTAACATTTGCCATGTGGTGATATAACGCGTGGCTATATACGATACGTAGTTATACACGTTCCAATATATGGTATGTAACATTTGCCATGTGGTGATATAACGCGTGGCTATATACGATACGTAGTTATACACGTTCCAATATATGGTATGTAACATTTGCCATGTGGTGATATAACGCGTGGCTATATACGATACGTAGTTATACACGTTCCAATATATGGTATGTAACATTTGCCATGTGGTGATATAACGCGTGGCTATATACGATACGTAGTTATACACGTTCCAATATATGGTATGTAACATTTGCCATGTGGTGATATAACGCGTGGCTATATACGATACGTAGTTATACACGTTCCAATATATGGTATGTAACATTTGCCATGTGGTGATATAACGCGTGGCTATATACGATACGTAGTTATACACGTTCCAATATATGGTATGTAACATTTGCCATGTGGTGATATAACGCGTGGCTATATACGATACGTAGTTATACACGTTCCAATATACGGTGTGTAACATTTGCCATGTGGTGATATAACGCGTGGCTATATATGACGCGTACTAATATTTAACGTGTGATGATATGTGGAGCGTAGTAATATTTAATGCATGGTACTACAACGCGTGATGTTACGCGTGGCGATATACGCTGATAATACAAGCATAGCAGTACACAACCTGTAGTGATATTCATCGTAATGATATACCAAACATAGCGATATAAATAACACATCATGACCCCCTCACATACTACAGTTCAATATAACAGCAATGTACCTATAATATAGATATTGTGTAAATTTCACAGAATCCTCCATTTGCCAAAACGATCAAGGCTAAAATACTCAAAATAAGTGTCCCATATTTTCTTTCCTCACAAGCAATGATTTAAACGAAAATTACAATGAAAAGAGATTAAAAAATGGTTTTGTCGCGGTCTCATATAAACGGCAGTCTGCACCACTTGAATCTAACATGATCTTCTATCCAAGAATGGTTCACTTTTTTCCCGTCCATTGTACGACGCATCCTAAGCGCAACTGCACTATCCCCACGTGACGAGGGATATAGTCGAGGACATAGAGAAAGGGTTTGATATAGTCGAGAGTAGAGAGAAAGAGGATGATGGCGGATGGTTCGAAGGTACCAAGGATAAAAGGAGAGTCACGGGATTTGAGCTTGGAAGTGGTATATGAGTACGATAGTCCGTTGCATATTTCAGGATCCACTTGGCGAACTGGCGTGTTCGTGAGAGAGGCCACGACAATTTCTCCCACACACGCGCACACATGAATATACACGTATACGAGCGATCGACCACCATCGTGATTGTACTCTCGGTTTCTGTAAAAGCTCTCGAAACCACCGTCCGTGACTTAACTCGTCTCTAAACGGTGCCATTGTCAGCGTAACCGAGGTGTCACCGTGGCTAGCTGATAACGCTTCCTTGGCCAACCATTTTGGTTGATTTCTGTGTCTTGTGGCGGGCAAACTATGGTAACTGGTTTAGGGTGGCGGTCGATGATGGTACTTTGCTCTTTTTTCTCTTCTTCTTTCATTATCCGTGGCTTTGGTGAGGGAAGCTCTTTCAGGGTGCTTGCATGAAAGGCTCATTTTGTTATCGCGTTTATTTAACGTTAAACTGAATGTAAATATTAATGATAGGGAAATTTCATAACGATTAACTGTATTGAAACGGGGATAATTGCATTTGAAATTGTAATGCGAGCTGTTTATGTTGAAATATTCCCTCATTTTCGATATAAATGGCTCATATTTAACGTGTAACGTGTAGGACAATCGTTTGACGGAGATCTTTAATTATAATCTGAAAACGCTATTTTTAATTTTTCTAAAATGGTAGTGGGTTTTGAAAGTTAATAATGAGTTATTGTGAAAATAATGTAAGTTGATTTATTAATATAAATCTAGACTTTTATTTATTGATTGAATAACTTATTTAGAAAAATAGAATGTGAACTCATTCATACTTCATATTCAGCCATTAATAGGAAACATTTAATAATATATTTTTTATTACTTTATTTATTTTATTTTAATCTATTTTAATCAATTTTATCTATTATTTATTTTTATTCAATGTATGTTTTTATTTGTGCCACTGTGGTATTTTACTTATCTTGCATCTGTGTTATATTATGTTTGTACATTTAATCAATTTATCGATTAAATATTTCGTTTGTCATATTTTCCAATACCCGAACTTTTCGGTTTGAGTGGTGCGACAGAACCACCGTAAATAAGAGTACCAGAGGTGTTCTAAAGAGATTGGTAGCACGTTTATCTGAGTTATTACGGATTTCAGTGTTTATAGGATGTCGAGAAAATATTGATTTGAGTTATAAATAAGTTTAACTGTAGATAATATTTATGTATTTCGTAAAACCGGCGCAGTGCTTTTAAGGTAATATCTTTTATGTTTAGGTAGTAACTACATATCAAGTATGAAAATGTTGACCGTAAAGTGGTCCGTAAACATCCACAAGATAAATCAAATTCTTTTTAAGATCTGCTGTTACGTATTACTTAATCCTCTTCGAAAAATTTCTGCGTGAATTTAGTCGTAAAGATTAAGTAAATCATCCAACAGGAATATTAAATTTCGAATGATGAGCATTGATAAAATTAATGATAAACTGAATTTTAATGAAATTAAGTACATTGGAATTTAATATTTTTATTGTTTCAGTTAATCAATTTTTAATACTATAATACACTCATGTAGCAATTATAATGGAAAATAATCCAAAAGTCTTACTTGATAAATTTTGATAAATAATTCCATAGAAGAAAGTAAGGGTTACAAATTTAGTTATTAATTTAACATTTCAAACGTTTTATCAGTAGAATTAGACTCGTTATGTTATACTACACCTGAAAACAGTATTAGCTATAGCAATCTAAATATCCAGAGACTAAAAATTCTTAATTTTGTTACTGTTGTAATTTACTATTGTTCTTGCTGGAATAATTTCTCTCAAGACAAAGATCATTAAAATTACATTATAATTAATATAGCAAATCAAGATAAATTTGCAGTATCAGATACTTCAAACATCAAAATATACATTTACAAAATGACATATATTTACTGTTATTAAATATTATAAAGTGTTCCACTATAGATACACATTTTAATACAGATCTGAATGTGCAAATAATATTATTTCATATATAAAATAATGAAATTATTCCAACAACGATTTACATTTTTATTTACAAACTGGTTACTCCTTTGTACATATACAAAATGAATGTGAGATAATTTACAATACTGCCAGTAATCGCAAGATTTGTAATGGAAATGTGATGATGCTGTGAACGCAAATGTTTTTGGGCAGTCGAGTCTGAGACTCGTGTTAGTTCGCCTTTAATCCGTCTACCTGGCCGGGTTAGGAGACGAATCGTTAGGTTAGTGAACCCGTAGGCATTATTATTGCAACCGGATCCAACGACCATTAAACAACGGGGCAATGACGTGTTGTGTGCGCCGGAACTGTTCACTGTGGATCACGTCCACTTAGCGAAACAACGATCAACGGTTCTCATTTGTAGTTCGGATTAGGGACTTTGATTAATACGATGGACGATTGTGAAAAAGTTATACCTCGCAAGGTGATCCCGGTGATTGCACGATTTTAATGAAACTTGACACGATTGTTCATTAGAATATAATCGTAATTGCTCGTTTTTTATCTCGAGGGAAAAATTAACCCCTTTATCTCAGTTGGTTCGTATGCTTATAAATCATAAACGATGGAAGATATTAAAAAATGTTTGCAATAAAAGTTAGACTGCTTTTTTAACCGACTCGAAAAAGGAGGAGGTTACTCAATTCGATCAGTATTTTACATCTATAAATCTGTAAAAGGTTTTTGAAAGAAATAACTTCTTTTCAATTCTTTTTAATTTCATCAAAATGATGTTCGAAATTAATTGACTATGAATAAAATCGTTGGTGACAAAATTATCCATAACTCTGTCAAATGAATGACTTCGTTTTTTTGCTTTAATTTTCTGTTTCTATGCAATATAAATAGCTATTTGATTAAACAGCATGTAATTTGTAAAGAACATAAAAAGAGTATATAACTTAAAAAAAAATATAAAATTATAGAATGTAATTTAAAAAAAATGTAGAATGTAGCTTGAAAAAAATATAAAAACAGTATGCAATTCAAAGGAAATATAAAAACAGTGTGTAACTAAAAAAGAATATAAAAAAGTTAATTCAGAGAGTTAGAGAGACAAGATTTATCCTTGAAACGAGATGTTGATTAAATTTTCATTGTTTTGGAATTCATAGTTTGAATTTTCCGTTTTATGCCTCTCCATTGTCCGCATAAACGAAATTTCGCTGTGTAAAATGTATGAAATTCCAGTCTTTAAAATTCTGAAGCTAGTATTTTCAACGTTACGTACAAATATTTGAGGAATTTCGATTGTTTTATGAATATTTCCACGGTATCTTGGAAGCACCGATATTTTCAATTAATACTTATATAATAAATTTCTAGTATACACTGGTTGTATTAAACGTTTCATCGCTAATTTCCTTTTATTTTTGTTACAGGTACGTAGACCAGGATTCATCCCCCTTTTACCAGCTAAGATACCGGTAAGTCCATTTTTACAATGATGCAGCGTAGTTAATCTAACGAGCCTCTGCCCATTCTGACCCTTTCAAGCGAAGAGAAGTTCTTAAAACGTGAGCAACACTCGAATCAAATTGAATGGAACTTTAGCGTTTCTATCGTTGATCCAACATTTAGTCTATTTTTTCGTTCTACCATTCGCAGCTCTTTTTTATTACAACTGTCACGTGTCGTGTTTCTCTGTAATTCACAAATGCGTCTGCACATGTGTGCTTTAGTTCATTATTATAGAATGTTACCAAACTTAGTAACTATAAAGTGGTTTTGATGTACAGTCGCAAGTTTTGTTTACTCTGATTAAATTTCTAAATAAGATGTGTACCATGCATCATATTTAAAGCTGATCATTATGAAACACGATTAAAAGTTTACAGATGAACTGACTGATATAAAATAGTTTTGATACAGTTGCAAGTTTTGTTTATTAAGATTCAATTTCTACATAAGGCGAGTACCATACATTATACTTTAAGTTGATCATTATAGAATACGATTAAAATTTGACAGATAGAGGTAGATAACTATAAAATGATTTTCATGTACAGATGCAAGTTTTTCTCGTTTTGATTAAGTTAAGATGAGACATCTTTCATATATTCCACTTTAACTTGATCACTAGGGAAAATGACATGGCTCATCGTTATTTTAACAAATATAAAGAACCTAGTAATGTGACCAGACAGAAAACAGGATCAGAATTTGGATGTACATATTTGACTCAAAACAGAATATCTATGTTCATATGCTCAAATTTAAATTAGAATATAAATGCATTTCGAAACCAATTCAAATTAGTATCTGAACGAATTCATAAATGATCACATTCAGCTTAGAATTTGAACGTATTCATAAATGATCAGGTTCAAACCATAATTTGAACGTATTCATAAGTGATCAGGTTCATATCAGAATTTGAATGAATTCGTAAATGATCAGATTCAGCTTAGAATTCGAACACATTCATAAATGATCAGGTTCAAACCATAATTTGAACGTATTCATAAGTGATCAGGTTCATATCAGAATTTGAATGACTTCGTAAATGATCAGATTCAGCTTAGAATTTGAACATATTCATAAATGATCAGGTTCAAACCATAATTTGAACGTATTCATAAGTGATCAGGTTCATATCAGAATTTGAACGTATTCATAATTGATCAGGTTCATATCAGAATTTGAATGACTTCGTAAATGATCAAATTCAGCTTAGAATTCGAACACATTCAGAAATGATCAGGTTCAAACCATAATTCGAACGTATTCATAAATGATCAGGTTCATATCAGTATTTGAATGACTTCGTAAATGATCAGATTCAAATTAGAATTTGAATTCAAATGATCAAATTCATATCAGCGTACCGAATAATTTCTGTAAAAGTTAGAATTTATTCCGAAATGATCAGACTTTCAGTGATCCAATTGATAATCGAAGGTTCGAGGAAAAGATATAAAGTAATCTTGCTTCGAGTTACACGGCGATGAGGGTTGATTGTTAAATACAGTCTAGCCGGCGTGTCATATCACCTTTTGGCGAAGGGTCGATGGTACTCGAACATCCGACGAGATATCGCACCTTTCAAACACCTCTGCCTTCCCTTCATTCCCTTTTCGTTCCTTTTTGCTGTGCTGCCCTTGCGATTCACCCTTGCTATCCACCCACACCGTCTTGCCACTTCATGACGACAATGCACGTCCCATCCCACTTAGTGTTTTCTACCCTGGAATCCGGAATGTCGTCGATAAAATATTAAGGGCGAACGATATGTAGGCCAGTCGCGTGAGAAGCGTCTTATAAATCCTTTGATCGATCTGATGTTCAATTTCAATTCTTCTTGTTCGCACTTTGTGATCGTTGTTTTCGTACTTTGGTTGTTGCTGCAGGAACCTTTTATTGTTAAACATAATATTGTTGAATATTATTGTTATTATTGTTGCATAATTGTTACAGTTATTATTTTAATGTGAATTGTGAACGCTTTGACAGATTCGAGAATTTAATATTAATGTAAATTATAATACTAGATAGTTAATTAATAATGGTATAAACGTACGAGTAACTTTTAATATTATGTTTATATGTTTACATACTTATTTGTCTTTCTATTATATTTCCGAATTTAAACACTATTTTATCTTGAAATTTACACACGAAATTGAAAAATCTCTGAATTAGAAAATTTTCAAATTCTACTAAATTGTGAAATCGTTAAATTTTAAATATTTAAATCTTCAAATCTACAAATCCTCAAATTTCTATATTCTCAAATTTTTCTGTCTGCTAGTCACTATACTCATTCTCGAATTTTTTAACAATTAACCCCTTGCGTTATAGTGACAAGCTATGCTAGTGACGCACTTGCAGTTTAAATATGGCAAATTTCCCTCATATTTTTAGTACATGCGAATTTTCAGTATAGATATAATTATAATTTATGTAGTTAGAGGTCGCTGAATAGAATACTGATAATATTGATAATATTGATAACATCGATAACATTGATAACATTGGTTGTATTGCTAATATTGATAACATTGATAACATTGACAACATTGATATCATTGATAACATTGATTGTATTGATAATATTGATAATATTGATAACATTGACATCATTGATATCATTGATAACATTGATTGTATTGATAATATTGATAACATTCATTATATTGATAACATTGATAACATTGACAACATTGACAACATTGATATCATTGATAACATTGATTATATTGATAACATTGATTGTATTGATAATATTGGTAACATTGACAACATTGATATCATTGATAACATTGATTGTATTGATAATATTGATAACATTCATTAAATTGATAACATTGATAACATTGACAATATTGATAACATTGACATCATTGATTATATTGATCACATTAATTGTATTGATAACATTGATAATATTGATAGAACTTGTAATATAGATACCTCTGAGCATTAATAATATTAATAGTATTAATGATATTGATAATATTGGTAATCTTAATTTTCTTGATCGGTTTTGTTATTATAACAAATAATAATGCGATGTCTGACACTCGCTGAAAAAGGGTTAACCTAGAAATTGCCTTAGCGCGCTTTGAATCACCACATCCAAAATTGCCATACTCCACACGTTTAAATACCACGAAAAAGAACAAAAAATTTAAATGTCCATGTACTTAAAAAAAGTGTACGGTAATGGCCTAAAGGCACACTTTTAGCGAAAAGCGTCGAAACGTACGGGGAAAATAATACGAAAATATTAAATCGCCTTCAGTATGCTTACAAATAAGAAGCGTTTAAAGGATTGAAAATAATTTTTCAGAGAACGAACCGGCTCTTTCATGAACGAACCGACGAAATGCTTGAAATAATTCCAGGAACAAGCAGCTTGAATACCTGAATCAGAGTCCAGTTGTTCGCGGCCTGCTTTGAACAGAAAAAAATATAACATAGTTAACGAATGGATGGACGATTATTTTTTTTGGTATAGTCGCTTCCTGCGATACCTCGACGAGGCTAATTTAACGAACGAAAAGAGAAAAGCAGAGGAAGGAATTTCTTCCATCGTAAGCGAAATTTGTCCATTAAATCGCGAAACATTTTAAAGGAATGCTCATTTCGTTGGAATTTGTTGAATGAAACTGAATACCGCCTCTTGTATGTAATATCTTTCTTATCAGAGTGTCTGACAGCATTTATGGTCTCAGTCATGTTACAAATTTCTTAGCTTGCGTTTTCGGTAGAGAGTTTTGATTTATGAATTAGGGACTTGGAAATTTGGGGATTTAGAAAGTTGGAAATTAGAGAATTATGGTGTTTAGGAGTTTAGGGGTTTCAAAATTTGGATATTACAGAATTTTGAGATTTAAAAATCAGAAGATTGGGGAATTATGGAATTTCGAAAAGTAATAATTTAAAAATTTGGGGGTTTGAGAATTTGAGACATATAGAGTTTGGAGATTTAAAAGTGGAAGGGTTTAGAAATGTGGAAGTCACAGAATATTTTGGAATGTTGTGGCGTTGGGAATTTGAGAACGTAGAAATCTAGGAATTTCGGAATTTGAAAAGTATGTAATTTTGGGATTTAGAAATTTGGAGATTTTGGAAGTTGGGAAATTCGTAATCTAGAGATTTAATAGTTTACGAAGTACAGAATTTTGGAATTTCGAAACTTGTAGGTTAGAGAATTTGGGAACTTATGAATCTAGGGATATAGAAATTAGAAAATTTGAGAATTTTGGGATTCAGGGATTTTAAAATTATAGAATTTCGCAATTTAGAAACTAATGTATTTGCGAATTTGGGAATTTATGAATCTGAGAATTTAGGAGTTTGTAAATTTCATAATTTCTCATTGTAGATTTTGGAAATTAGGAAATCTAGGGATTTAGGGACTTTGAAATTTGGAAATCTAGGGATTTAGGATTTTTAAATCAAAAAATTTCGGAGCTTAGAAACTTGTGAGTTTGTTAATTTGGGAATTTGTGAATTTGGAGATGTAAGAGTTCGAAAATTTAATAATTTGGGAGTTTAGAATTTTGCAGCTTGGAAATTTAGGGATTTCGGAATTTTGCAATTTCGAATTCTAGGGATTTAGGATTTGTTAATTATAGAATTTCGGAATTTAGAAACTTGTGGACTTGAGAATTTGGGAATTTGTAAATTTGATAATGTAAGAGTTCGAAAGTTTCATAATTTCGAATTTGGAAATTAAGAAATCTAGGGATTTAGAGATTTCAAAATTAAGAAATATCAAAATTGAAAGATTTGAAAATTATAGTAATTCAAATTTTAAAAATTGAAAATTAGGAAACTTGAAAATTAAAAAATTTGTAAATTATAGTATTTCAGATTTTAGAAATTGGATATTAGGAAATTTAGAGATTATAGAAATTGGAAACTTTGAAATCTATGGATTTCTGAGCTCGGTAATAAGAAGATCCTACGGATTTACGAA